TACACATTGAGGAGCTGTCTTAAGAAAATAATTAACACAGGGATCCCTGGGTGGCGCAGCGGTTTAGCGCCTGCCTTTGGCCCAGGGCGGATCCTAGAGACCCGAGATCGAATCCCACGTCGGGCTCCCGGTGCATGGAGCCTGATTCTCCCTCTGCCTATGTCTCTGCCTCTCTCTCTCTGTGTGACTATCATAAATAAATAAAAATTTAAAAAAAGAAAAGAATAAACACAAAAAAAAAGTCGTTGCAGCACTATTTATTATAAGGGGAAAAATCTAAATTTCTAGCAATAATAACATATCTCTAATTTCAGAAATCATGTTTTCAAAGACTACTTCATGACTTGGCAAGATGACTACAAAATAATTATCTTTAAGTGAAAAGATAATTCTGCCTTTGTGTGTGTGCATTTCACACACACACACACACAAGGCAGAGAATCATCCTATATATCTATGGGGGGGGCAGGAGCTGGATGGGGCAATACAAAAGAAAATTCGCTAGTGAGGAGCACCTGGGTGGCTCAGTTGGTTAAGTGTCTGACTCTTGAGTTCAGCTCAGGTCATGATCTCAGGGATCATGGGATCAAGCCCCACATCAGGTTCCATGCTTGGTGTGGAGTCTGCTTGGGATTCTCTCTCTCCCTCTCCCTCCACCTCTCTGCCTGCTTACACTTTAAATTAATTAATTAATTAATTAAATCTTTAAAAAGAAGAAGAAAATTTGCCAGTGGTTATTAAAATTGTGGGATGATGGATAATTTTTACTATTCATTTTCAACTTTTACCATCACAAATTTTTGTAATGCATTCATATAGCTTATAGCTTTTATAAGAGTTTTATTTCAATAACTAAATGCTGGTTCCCAGGACAGATAGATTAGGTAAACAACCCTCTTTAGAAAATGCTTTCTAGGGCAGCCCCGGTGGCTCAGCGGTTTAGCTCTGCCTTCAGCCCAAGGCATGATCCTGGAGACCCACAATCAAATCCTTCATCGGGTTCCCTGCATTGGAGCCTGCCTCTCCCTCTGCCTGTATCTCTGCCTTTCTCTCTGTGTGTGTCTCTCATGGATAAATAAATAAGAAATTTTTTAAATGCTTTCTATAAAGAGTCTGGAAGACTAAAGTTTATTTTATAGCTGCTGTTTCTCATTAGCGAAATAGTTGTCATTGTTGCACTTCATAGCTTCATCTATGATGTATAAATTCTCTAGCAAGGTTGCATTCTTCCTTGGTGTTCAGTTAAAGGATTTACTTTCCTGGAGAAAAATATTGTGTTTCTCTCTCAAGTCTCTCCTATGCAACCAACCACCTTCTCATCCTAAATCCTTGGCTTAACACTCACAGTAGGTTCTAGGATCCTTGTCTGGAGGCAGGAAGATCTTTTAGGGGACTGCTGCACTAGTCTGCACAAGAAATGATAAATCTAAACCCAGGCAGTGTGTGTGTGTCTGTGTGTGTGTGTATGTGAGAGAGAGAGAGAGAGAGCAAAAGATTCTATTAGCCCACACAGCCCACATGCATCCTCTGACTAGGATGATCTTCCCTTCATTTTTGCTCAGCCAGATCCTCCCATCCTTCAAGTTTCCACTCAAATGCCTTCTCCATAAAATCCTTGTGCCCATAACCAAAAATCATGTCATCTCCTTTTTCATTCCTTGCCTTTTTTGTATATACATATGATTTTCATTTTGAAACAATCCAACCTACAGAAAAAAATGCAGTTATAGTACAAAGAACTTTTCTTAAACCATTTGAGAGTAAGTTGCCAAACTAGTAATGTTCATCACCCCTGAGTACTTTAGTATATATTTCCTACCAAAAAAAAAAGAAAGAAAACATTCTTTACATAACCACAGTACAACCATCAAAATAGGAAAATTGATATTGAAACATTAATACTATAATCCTCACTCAAGTAATGTTCTTTACAGTAAAAAGATCCTGTTTGGAATCAAGTGTTAAGCTTGATTACCATGTCTCTTTAATCTCATTCACTCTGGAACAGCATTTCAGTCTTAATTCTTATAACCTTGACACTAGAAAACTATGGTCCAGTAGAACATGCACCAGCTTGGGTTTGTCTAGTGTTTCGTCATGACTTGATCTAGGTTATGTATCTTTAGTAAAAATACACAGAAGTTATGCTATTTTCCTATTAAGTAGTACATGACTGCAATTTGTTCTCTTATTGGTTATGTTTACATTGGTCACTTGATTAAGATGATTTCTGCCAGTCTTCTCAACTCTGACGTTACTCTTTTCCCTTTGTAATTAATAATATTCTGTGGTGATGTACTTTGAGACTTTTATCAATTCATGTATTTTTATCAGTATGAATTCACTGTTATTTTTATTTGATGAACTATAATCCAATATTATCACTATTTATTTGAAGCTCACACTGATACAGAATGGACCAGTGGGAGACTGTTCAAAGTGGTTCTTGTGTCCTTTGACTCATCCTCATCATTCTTTGAGCATTTCCTTGTTTTGTGGTATAAGATGTTTCAAGCTTATTTGTACTTGCCTTGCCTCAGGCCTAGAATCATCCATTTCTACGAGGACTTCTGGCTCTTTTAACAATAGTATTTAGAAGCCAAAGTCTCAGCCATAGGAGTTCTTACTGCTTTTGGAGTATCAATGCTCCCAGGACCACACAGTGGACAGATATTAGGAATCTTGGAATACGTGTATGTGCACATACATACAAATCTACACACATTTACATCTATAGTTATTAAGACATTGGTCATGTTAAAACTCAAGGTTTTCAGAATATAATTTAACCTTCTTTTTTTAATAAATTAATTTTTTATTGGTGTTCAGTTTACCAACATACAGAATAACACCCAGTGCTCATCCCGTCAAGTGTCCCCCTCAGTGCCCGTCACCCACTCACCCCCACCCCCTGCCCTCCTCCCCTTCCACCACCCCTAGTTCGTTTCCCAGAGTTAGGAGTCTTTATGTTCTGTCTCCCTTTCTGATAATTTAACCTTCTAACTTCACTTTTATTATAGCTTCTCCTTTTCCATATTTGTAATTCATTTTTCCAAAGGTAAGAAACCTGGCTTCCATAAACTTTAATATAATTACTTATTTAAACACTTGTCCTATATGTAACCAGTCTCTCTCTTAGAAACTACTATCTCCCTCACATAGAAGTACTCCTTACTTCACTCAGGCCACAACCACACATGGATGTTCTCCCGACCTGTTCAGTCACGAAATCCCATGCCAAGTTACTCTACATACTCTCTTCACTGTAAACCCTTTTCGACCTGTTCTATCTCTGACATCCTCGTGCTGGGCCACTGGCCCCCAGGTGAATGCCAACTTTTACCCTGTTTGGGCTCCAATACCCATTCCAGACCATCCTATGTCTGTACCTCTCACTCCACCAGGCTGCCCCATACATGGGCATCCTCTTTACTCTGTTTACAAATAATAAAATTTTTAAGTTAAAGGAAAAGAGACACTGGTAGAACTTTTAGTCTAAGGACATTCTAATACCTTAAATTCCTTGGCCAAACTCTGACTCATTAGAATATGTGAAATGCACTCAAGGAATAGGGATTCCTCCTTTTATACCCACAAGGCCAGTCATCAATGTAATCATTGTTTAAAAGAGAAAGTGTATCAGTTTTTCGTTATTAAATATCACACACATGTGCCCACACACTCATACTCCTTCACTGTCACTCATTCCTCTGAAGATCAAAAACTGGCAAAAGAGAATAAAATTATTAGTATTTTTAATGAAAAGCACTGCCTATTGCACTCTGTGCTAGAAAGATTCTTCTGATATAACAAGAATAATGGCAAAAACAAAAGGGATACAAGAAAGATATTAAGGAAGACGGAAGGAGGGAGAGAGATGAGAAAACAAGAAAATGAAAAGGTGGAAACAAGGAAAGTAGGAAGAAGAGAGACAGAATGAGGAAACCAAGAGAGGCTAAATGGGAGACATGGGAAAAGGGAGTGGCAGGATGCCAGTCAGGAGAGTCTGATTTGCCCACCAAATCCCATGGCAAAGGGCTCTAACTCTGTAATCAGCCCCAAAAGAGTGTCACTATCAAATGAAAACACCAATCTACTCCAAGATTGCTGACATGTCATTGAAAAACAGTTGGTTCATACACTTCCCTAATACACAACTGAATGAAACTGACATCCAGAAATTTAGTACAACCAACTTCTGGATTTTATCTATATATTTGCTTCATGACACTTTTAAATTATTCCTACTTTGAGAGTCACTTTTGAAAACTATAAAAGTGGGGATCCCTGGGTGGCTCAGTGGTTTAACCCCTGCCTTCAGCTCAGGGCATGATCCTGGAGTCCCGGGATCGAGTCCCATATCGGGCTCCCTGCATATGGAGCCTGCTTCTCCCTCTGCCTGTGTCTGTGTCTCTCATGAATAAATAAATAAATCTTTAAAAAAATAAAACTATAAAAGTATCAACATCTGCAAATGGTGAGAAGGTTCTCAGTCAAAACTTCAATAAGGAAAAATATGGATAATATATGTATCAGTGGAACACCTGCAATGCTTGGCATCCCATCTGATTTTCCTGCTTTGATAAAGGAAGAAATTACATGTCCTGTTAATAATTATGTCGATGCTTCAGATTTAATTCCCTACTAACCATCAGAAAGATGTCTTGTCTAGTGTTGTGGTTCTTGTCAAAACCTATTAATATAAAGGAATATAAAGTTTTTCTCTATTACATATATGATTGCTGGATTTCTAAAAAGTATTCTTGAAACACAATATAACTTAAGGCAAAACTTTTAGAGGAAAGGAATACCCATTCTCAGAGTAACTCAATAGAGAGTTAATTCGTGGTTTATGTTAATTGACAGATATTTTTAGCTGAGGTAAATCTATATACTTCCTACAGGTGCTATTATAGATACTACTGGAAAGATCAATCAAGAACATTAGTTACCTTCCCAAAACCCATTTCTCCTTCTTTCTTCCTAATAGAGTCCTGATTTTGTTTGGCTAGCTCTGCCCTCCCTCCCACTCCAACCCAGTGACTGAGGGATAACAGACCTCACTGTCAAGTTGTTCCTGCTTCATTGAAAGTAGTCAACATATGACATTGCTTTGGCTCCTGTTGTAAGTAGAGAAGTCACATGGTCTACACTGGTCCAATTATAGTTGGGTGAAAGGGTTTCCTCTTGTTTAGGATGTGAATAAGAATGTATGTTGCATCAGATAGTGCTGGTAAGTATTTTATAGCCATACGAGGTCTAAATTCAACACTGTCACACTGAGGATGACAGAGCAGAAATACAAGAAGAATATGGATTCTTGATTACTGAGTCAATCAACCTGACCAGAACTAATTCTACTTCTGGACTTTCTGTTATGTAAGATATTAAACTTTTTTACTATATATTTTTTCCTTGAATTGGGATTTTTTGCAGCCAAAAGCATCCTAGTTGATCAAACCAAGTCTAAGCTCCAATATGAAAGCCAGAATTGCAGGCAGATATCTATGCCAACCTTGTGGTGCTGGAGAAAGTGCTTTTTATATGTTAGAGTCAAGAGTTACAAGGCTGTCTCAGTTTCCATGCAGAAAGAAATCTGAAAATAATTGGAAGCACTGGAGACTTTTCACACAGATTCCTTCTATTTAGACAACTTTAAAACTTAAATATGGGGCAGCCCGGTGGCTCAGCGGTTTGGTGCTGCCTTTCAGCCCAAGGCCTGATCCTAGAGACCCCAGATCGAGTCCCATGTCGGGCACCCTGCATGGAGCCTGCTTATCCCTCTGCCTGTGTCTGTTCCTCTGCATGTGTGTGTGTGTGTGTGTGTGTGTGTGTGTGTGTGTGTCTAATGAATAAATAAATAAAATCTTTTAAAAAATAAAATAAAACTTAAATATGGACTCATGGTCCTCTCTTTTCTGGCATAGAGGAAATCAATAATGCCAGTTTGGGAAAGGTAAACTTACTGATTTGAGGACAATGAAAATGATGCTATATAAATTCAACCCAAAAGAATCCTGGAAATTCTGATATTCTTTGACAACAACCTACCTTCGAGTCACAGTTTTTAAGCACTGGCTGTCGTCAAAATTAAAATGTCAAAATCAACTTAGGACCCAAGATAACTTTCACGTTGCTATGACAACCTCTTTTTCAAGTTTACCATCAGATATCTTAATTTGCTCAGAGTTAATATTTACTTTGAGAGTTTTTGGGGTAGGGGTTGGTAGAAATTAGACTTATTTCAATTATCTTCAGAAAATCCCTATTAGAGCTTATGTGATCTTTGCCAACCACAGAACCAATTTCTAGTTTAGGGTGCCTGGGTGGCTCAGTTGGTTAAGCAGCTGGCTTCGGCTCAGGTCATGATCTCATAGGTCTTGGTATTGAGCCCCATGTCAGGCTGCCTGCTCAGCCGGGACAGCCTTTGTTTCTCCCCTCCCTGCTCATGCTCTCCCTCTCTCTCTCAAATAAATAAATAAATAAAATCTTTTAAAAAATCAATTTCCAGCTTAGTAAAATAAATCATATTCAAATTTGTTATATATGTGTTTTATATACTGTTCTAGGGAGAAAAATTCTATTTTCATGTAATCCACAAAGGAGTCATGACTCAAAAAGTTAAAATTATTGCTGTAAACTGAGTAACAACTGTAGGTGGTCAGAGAAATTACCATGAAAAGGGAAAGGAGACAGAAAGAATAAAATAAGACATATTTTTAAAGTTTTGTCATGGTAAGTATAAGGGAGGAAAGATATAAGAAAAATGCCTGCTGGATATGGCAAGTACTTCTGTATGTATTTGAATCTGTTACAGTTTGTTGTGGGAAACACAACAAATACATAGGAAGCCATTGGAGCCTTTAAGATACTTAATGACAGTATATTGCATTGCATGTACAAATTAGATGTTTATCTGTCAGTCAAAGTCCTGGCAGGAAAGTAAGACACAATCAAAAAGGGTAATTGAAGATATTTAAACAAATGGAATACAGATTGCTCCTTGACTCACAATGGGGTTACATCCAGATAAACTCATCCTAAATTGGAAAATATCCTAAGTCAAAGATGCACTTAATATACCTAGCCTACCCAACATCAGAGCCTAGCTTAGCCTCCATTAAACAGGTTCAGAATACACGTTAGCCTACAGTTGGGGAAGATCATCTAACACAAAACCTATTTTATGATAAAGTGTTGAATATATCATGTAATTGATTGAATGCTGTATTGAAAGTGAAAAACAGAATGGTTGTAAGTGTATCAGTTGTTCCTCTCATGATTGCATGACTGGCTGGGAGCTAAGGCTGCCACTGCTACTGCCTAGCATCAGGAGAGAGGATTGTACCACATGCCACTAATCAAAAAAAGATTAAAATTCAAACATGAAAGTACAGTTCCTCATTACTAAGTATCACTTTTGCACCATCATAAAGTTGAAAAATCATAAACCCAAACCATCATAAATCAGAGAACATCTATATTTACCCCAAAAGTGGACAAGATTAAGGGAAGCCACAGTGCTGATGAAGGAGTCTAGGACTGGCAACAGTAAAAGCTATTAGCACTCCTAATCTGGAACAGGAAAGGGGAGGGAGTTTTCTCAGAAGCTAAACTAGTGAGACAAGCTCACCTGACAGGAACTATGACCTTAGGTGAGGGATGCAGAAACTCCCAAACAGCAGCCCAACAGGAAAGAGGCTAGGAAAATAAACACTATTTTCAGTCTCTCCCCATCCTCCAACCTCCTTACCAAAGCCTCTCATTGACCAAATCTACACAAAAACTGAGCAAAGAGGAGATGGATTATCTTGTCTGAAGAGGCTAGACCATGAGGTCCCAAATAGGGACAAGGATGGAAAAGGAATCTGACAGAACCAACAGATACCACCCAACACAGACACTGCCTGAATAACCACAGAAGGAAGATTCATTAAAAGATGGAGACATTTGGTTTTGCAACAGCTTTGGCATACATTTTGGCCTAAGACGTATATTTTAGAATTCTTTCCATTTTGTTAATGTTAGTTTTTAGTCATTATCCTTCATGCTGACAATGTTTGACTAAAACAAATACATATCTCATAATCACTAACTTTCTAACAATAAATCCAATCCTTTTTCCCTCAGGCAAAAATACTCTTCTAGTTCCATAAACCTGGCGCTATTTTATCACTGTCAAAGAATGAAGTGTCTATGTAAACTTAAGACAATTTGCTTTGATTCCGTGTCCACCTATACTCTTTCACATTCGAATCATATTTCTCTTTTGAGTCGTTATGAACATAAATTGTGTTGGAGTGTGTGTAGGTGTGTAGGTATAGTTTACTGAGCCAATCAATGGAAAATCCATGTATACAAATGATCTCAAATGCCACCATCAGCTCATCGTGTCTGTGTCTTTTCAGGAACTGACTGAATAGGTTGTGTGATGCAATGAAAAGTGTTCTGGGCTTTAGGTCTGGAGGCACTGACTATGATCAGTCTTTTCATTAACCAGCTATAGGACTCTGGCAAGCCCCATCTTACAGCTTGCATGGAATACTTCAGTCTTCACGGGGGACAAATAGCCCTTTCCTTTGTTCTAGAACATTGAAGAAAATATTAAAGATATTAAGAAGAGTTTTTCAATAGAGCTGAATTACAAAGTACATATCTACTCTAGAGCATAAATTATCCTCTTGATTTCTCATAGCTTTGTGGAGTCATTACTTAAGCATGTAAATATTTACCTGTGAAATGTAAACATAATTTTTGCAATTCAGGGAAATGTTAAGGTTCATGGGAAGCCATAATTGTTAGACTCAAAAAGTCATTGAGGATTTGCTGTATTTTAATGTAATCTGCTAGTGTCTTTATCTAATTTTAATTTAAAATAGCATATTTAGCATTCTCTATGTCAGTTTGAAAAAGGCCCTTTCAAACTAAAGCAATCAAGAAGCAGCAATACTGATGGTTCCTATTAGACATGAAATTAGGGACATGCATGAGAACCATAGAATTTTAAAGCTGGAAGTGACATCAGAGACTCTGTGCCTCAATTCCATTTATGGAAATAGAAGAGAAGCTGGTGAAGGAACTTGCCAGAGTGATAAAATAGTAGCATGCCTCTGCATGCTGAGCACCTCCACATGTCCCTCTAGCAACATCCACCAATCCCTCAGGAATGAGAACCAAGTAGGCTTGGCCTCAAATGTCAGTGTTCTCAAACTCTGTAACAAGGGCAATTGACACATTAATGTAGCATGTCTCTAAGCATTATAAAGCCCTCTCTCTTTCTTCTCTTATTAATTATAGACCGCATATTTTCATAAGTATCTACCTCCTCTTTCTTTCCTCCATAATTACCCAATTGTCCCCACTCCAATTCCTTTTAGAAGACATATGCCTTCTAATTGTGCTTTAGAAAATTCTCAGGATGCCTGGGTGGCTCAGTGGTTAAACGTCTGCCTTTGGCTCAGGGCATGATCCTGGAGTCCTGGGATCAAGTTCCACATCGGGCTCCCTGCATGGAGCTTGCTTCTCCCTCTGCCTATGTCTCCGCCCCTCTGTGTGTGTGTGTCTCTCATGAATAAATAAATAAAATCTTTAAAAAAAAAAAGAAAAAAAATCTTGACTTTTACTAGTCTTTGAGAAATAAAGAAAGTTTGGAGGCACTGCTCTAGACCACTCCACTTCTGTCTGAGACTGGATCTCCTGAAATCATTCTGAGATGAAGAAATTGTGTGCCTAACGTTGGTTGCAGGTGCTTTCAGGAGACATACCTGTAAAGAAGTGAGGAAAGGACTGAGGGAAGGAGGACCCAGGGATGGGTCAGCCCTGGAGAGAGGTCTGGGATGAGCAGCACAGAATGCTCTACACCTTGTCAGACTGGTGGACCTAATTTGTGTCTTCAGTTTAATTATCTGTTTCTCTTCCAGACAAAGGATTTTTAAGGTGCTAAAGACCAGTCTGAATTCTAACTATGCAGAATTTAAAAGATCCTGAGCTTTCTCTCCTGGGGAAATAAATGAAATAAAGAAAGATTATGAAATATGAAAGTTCTAAAAATAATAGCCTGAAATGGGGTAATTTGAATAAAAGCCAGTCAAATCTTTATGGAATATAGCATATTACTGATTCATT